GGCCACTCGTGTCAGAGACGAAACGAAGGTGTGCGCTCTAATAAATCTTATTTGACGTTACTCTTTCGGTTGAGAAGCATGTATTGCAGCTGTATTAAGTATGTAAGTGAAACTGTATGCAAGTTAAAACATTCGTTGTATTTGACATCGACTTCATCTAAGTTAATTGCATTATTACTGTTACGGATTTGTAATATTTTATACAAAGTTTGTGACAGTTACTGAAACTCATGAGACGTTTAGAATTAAAGATATGCTAGAAGAATAACGATGATTTGTAAGACATGACAATAAATTGAATTTGTAATAGAATTATTATATATGTCGATGAGTGAAATGATGCATTTCTCGAAAGCAGTGTCTCGAGACTGCGAGAAGCATGCTTGGGGGCATAAATCAATTAAATTATAAATTACTATACAGAAGTTGAGCAAAACGACCACCTGTTGAGGATAGGACAAGGAAAGTAGGATGAAGGGATGAAGTGGGGTAGCTATCTCGTAAATTCCGTGCTGCTACCACCCTGCATCCATGTATAGAAGCGCTTACTTCTTATTTTCGCTCTCTATTTTTACCATAATCTGTTTCCAAAATATAATTTCTCCTCGTTACGTATTTATAGTTCAGTAAATGCATCTATATATTTAAATTTACTTGCCAAAACTTTCTCATGCAATTACAATATAAGCCGACAAATTCAATTTTTTTAAATATGTGCAATATTTTACTCATAAATGTGTAGATTTCTAATCTTATAATTGTTACTTAAAGCCACAACGTTTTTACATGTTCATAAAATTATTCTTAAAATTTTCTTTTTACCGAATGTACTTGTAAGTTATTCATATAATTTCGCAATTATTAATCAGTGTCGCTTATTTCATTATATGACTGTATCCTTTAGGTCCGGTTGTTTCTCTATCTCGCTCTCGAGAGATCTCTCTTTTTCTTGGCAAGAATTGTACTTGATAATTTTAATTGTACTTTAATCACTAGCGATTCGATGCAATCCACATCGTTTGCGAGAAAGTTGTTAATATTTCAGCTCTAAAGCGGATTTGGTAGATAAGCGTATAATTGGGAATGCGAAGAAAGTAGTAGGTAGGGACATTGAGAGCTGCCAGGGATGATTAATTCTTGTCGGAAAGCGCTAGACCCTTTGGAACTCGGTTGTAGCGTCCCCGCCACCCCCACCTTTCCCATTCCACACTGGCCCTCTTCGCTCTTCATACAACCACCTCATTCCTCTCGCGCACTCAACCCTCTGAACCTCTCTTACCACCGGCAGACTTTCTCGTTTCGTTTGTTCTCCGCCCGTGTCATTCGTTATTACATCGTAGAAACTCGCGGATATTTGGAATTCCAAGTGACGTCTAAAGGGAGCCGGTGCTTTAACCGATAACTCGGTTTCTTACCTTAAAGGAAACTATGTCCGACGCTGTTTTTGTTAATATTCTTACACGGACACTAGCATATTGAAAAATTAATACCGTGAAAAAATTAATCGGGATATTCGCTGTCCTCCTAAAATCCTCTTTTATTGAAGAAGAAACTAATAGCTTCACGATGCCATTAAGAGATCTTGCTGCAATCGCGAAAATGCAGCGTGGAAAAGTGTTACAGGATACAATGCAAATGGCGTACGAAAATTACATGTAAGTGATAATCAGGAGTGATGTTACGCGTGTCCGTTGGAATGGGCAATCCTAAAAGTAGTTCCAGAATCCGATTCATCTCAAATTCGAGCGCTCATCCGGTGGCCCCATCTCGCAAGGGCCAAGAAGCGCACGCGTCCGATATCGGTTGCATTTGCATAAGGCTATCGTCTTCCCTTTGTTGCGGACTTGCCTCCCACGTACGTGGCGAGGCTGTCACTCAGAGTTTCAGGGCTCTCCTCAGTCTTCTCTCACATCAGCTGCGGATCAGTACTCCTCTCTATCTCCCTCGGCATTTCTTCCTCTTTCCTCCTTTTTTCTCGATTTCAAACCTCCCCACAGCACACAGCAAGCACCTACACCCTGTCTTCGCTACCTTGCCTGCATTCCTGCATACTATTACACGGAGCTGCGCTTACACACATTTCGTTCGTAACGCTTGCTTACTTGTTTCAAGTAAAGCCATAGACGCTGCTCCATAGACTCCCGAAGCGCGGAATATTTCACGGGATACCACGACGGGCGTCAAGAGAGTTGACCACGACGAGCTACCCAGGTTCCTGATAGTTTAAAAGAAAACCATATGAGTTAAACAAACAAGCACAACAAATAGTATAAAGGCAACACGTTTCATTATCAATTAAGTTAGCAAGATCCAGCAGTTGGTTCGATTTGAAAAATTTACACAAATTAATATACGATTAATAACCTTCCATTTCTTTTCTTCGAATCCTGTCTCTTATTGATAATATTTTAGCCTGTGTAATAAAATTACTGTCTCCCTTAACTTAACAATGGAAAAATTCATAATTCGTATCTTCAAGTTCGCTAGTCACAGCTCGGCGTTTATCCCTTTTGTTTATCCCTGATATTTGCCGTTACGCCAATATCAGAGAATGTACTGGGTGTCAAGATGAGAATCTTGATATCGCGGCGCGATAGCCGACCAAACATTTCGGGCGGTCACGGACGGACAGCGAAGGCAAAAACGTATAAAACGCAAAGACAGCGGTCCCGAGGCTCGGGGTGTTCCACTAGCGCGATACTCTGCACTCTTCGAATAGCTCTCTTCTTGCCCGCGAGTGCGGAGGTCCTCGGAGGTTCCACCGCGCCTAACTGGGGATGGGATGGAACGTAACGTGGTGGACACGGGACGGGAATGGTAGTCGCATTAATAAAACATTAAGGTTTTGTAGACGATGTATCGATGTAGTGTTTATATTATCTTCTTTGATGTCGACATGTGAATTGGACAGATTTGTTATTCAGACTCCGTACATAAAAGTGCTGAAGTCTTGCTCTGCTCCGTTTGTGGACAGGGCGGGTATCGACAACTCGGACATCGACGGACGGACGGACGGACGGACGGAACGAACGGACGTGAGCACAGATGGATAAACGTGAACGGCCTGTTTCAAGTTGCGCGCTGGGTCCCTGTTCCGCTTGTCAGACAGCCAGTGGGTAGAAGAGAGGAGTCTTATCCGTACGCAGATGGCTCGCCTTCGACTCGCTTCCGTCGACGCATTTTCAAAATAATTTCCACAACGATTAATATATTTTTTTCGTATTTCCTTAAATCGAACGACCCGAGAGGGGATATTTCGCAAGGACGTCAAACGAGCCTTCAGGAGAACGTGCTCTCAAAAAGCATTTTATCAGAATCGACCGAGGGAGAACCTTTGATAACGAAGTCGGTTGTTTTTACGAACGGAAAAGTGAATTTATAAGCGACGAAAGGTTCTTTTTTTTATGACTTTCCCCAACTCCGTCTCGGTCGTTACTAAACGTTTCCATGTCGAATTACACCCGACATGATTGCTCGATAAATCCCACACCTTGAACAAGACTTAATTTCACAATAGACGACCTACGCGCACTCATTTCTCGGAGCCGCGTGGTATCGACATTCTTCGCGATGTCGTGCTCCGGGCTCCGCGGTCCCCCTCTACTCGCCACACGGTACCGTGATCCCGAACCTTGACTCTTCATTAATCACCCCGTGGTATCAATGACTGACTGAGTGACTGACGGCAGGCGAGAGGTATTATATACCTACGGTGTTCGCGCGAAAGCTGATGCTCGTCGTGGGGATCTTTCTCGTCTCTGATAGACTGACGAGAGAGCCTTGTCTGAAAACTTTCCCCTTTCCATTTCACACAGAGCTTAATAGCTTATTCGAGAAAATTGCATTTTCTTGTAATTTTCTTAATACCGACTCTCTCTCTCTCTCTTTCTCTCGGAGCGAAACAGTACGCGCGCTGATCGAGCAAGGCACAAGATTGCTTTAATGCGATTGTTTAAATTTGCCGCTGTATGCAATTATGTGCACGAGCAAGGATAGGGAGCGAGTTAATTATCGCGATGTCGAAGTACATTCAACTCCAGAAATTCCAGTACGTACTTATGCTTTCCAATAGAAGAGCAGTCTGATTTAATCGAGAGGTCATGACCTTACGGTAGGCTGGCGCCATAGCGCCTCCTTATACCAGTATTCCGTTACGGACTATACACCGAAAGTCACGGTTACCTTGCCGCACTCCCTAACAAAGGTGCACCTACGAAGGCAATCGAATTCGCGTCGTCATTGTCGGTAGCTTAGACGATCTTGGTCGTTTGAGTGAGTCTTGTGACGGACCGTGACTTGCGTTAAGCCTCGTTTCTTCTCTTGTTTTCTTCTTACATGACTCCTGTCCGCTTCGGTAGTTTTCGAGGGTGTGACTCTGCTTTATCACACACGACTTTCTGCTGCCGATACGCGATTCTTATCGCGGCGGTCCCTCTCGGACTGAATAAAATGTGAACTGTCCATGGTCAAGCGTGTACAACGTCGATCTGAACGTGAGCTGACGGCGGCCGAATTTCGCGATTAGCTCCGCAAGGCTAATTCATTTTAATATAAAATTAAAGCGATTCGAGGTCAGCACCGCTAATTGAAATTTGACTCCGGATTTCCGCGGACGATTTAGCTCGGTGCGTTTGCCTAATTAAAATAATGAGATGCATTATTAGTAAAGAGGAATCCGTATCGCGGTTAGATAACCCGCGTGGTCACCACGCGATTCTTCAACATAAACTTATCGTGTTTCACGTTTGAGCAATAAAGCGGACGCGTTAAAGTATCAGCAATTATAAACATAATAATTATCATCGTGCGTCATAATTAACATTGCCGGTCCAGTTCTCTTTGTTACGCATGGCTATTAACATACTTAATTAATTTATAAAATGATTACGTATAATATACTTAATAACTTTATATACGCCTCGTGTTAAGGGCATTCTATCGAAATGACGAGCATCAACTCTTCCGCTTCTCACGGGTTCCAGTAAAGAAATGGACATCGGTGATTTCTGTACGTCATACCATTTAATAATTACAATTTAAATTATATTTAATTATACGGATCTTACACGTACGGTGCTCTAGGTTACGTAGATGTAATAAGTAAATATTTTTAGTTAGGCTATTTTACGTATATTACATGGAATGAAATAACATTTGAATGACGCTAGGCGAAAGTAATACTTGAGCTTAATTTAACTTGAAGAGAACGCATTTCTTTGCACCTGACGAATAAATAGTAAATATCTGCAGTTTCCATTCCGTCTCTTACCTCGCCAAACTGCGGGCGCAGGCTACGAACGACACCGAATCGATTTTCGATGAGCATCGAGATAGCACGGCCACGTATCCCGCAATGGATCTCGTGTAAAAGAGTAATGCAAATCTTGCATTATTTGTGCACATCATTCATAGGTACGGAACGTGTTGTACGACACGCGGCGTAAACAACAAAAATAATAATAACGAAACAAATAAAATACAATATTAACACTCGACCAAATCATAAGCAACAGACTCACTCTCGATACAATAATAAAGATAATATCAAGAATTTCAATAATGATAATGATAATAATAATATTAATAATAATATAATAATGTTCACTATGATTTATTTAAATATCCATATAGCGTACTAGGCGATAACGAAAAAAATAAAAATGAAAAGTTCAGTTCCTCCTGACTGTAAGAAACACATTTCTGTACATTCTGCGCGCGACGGATCTAAATACAGAGATACCGAAATTATTTCACTTACACACCTAAAATTAATTGAATGCAAAGTACTGTTTAACTGTGAGCAGTCTCTTGTCTAGCAACAAGACGTAATTAATAATTTATACGACAAAAGAAAGGTCTTCTTTCGTTAACGCCTCGTACAGTGATAACGAGTCTCGTTCGATATCGCGTTATATATTTAATAATTATGTACAATTCAATGCTAGTCTAGCTAGAAGGTCTCTTCTTTATTTGTTTCTTCTCTCGCTTGTACCGCTTAGAATCTCGAACAACATACACACATACTAAATTCCCTGTATTTTTCCGAATTTGCATCGCGTAACGCGCGGCTATGACAATTCAATAAGCATTAGAGCGACTGCTTTCCTCACCTCTGTCGTATCACAAGATAATCAATTACTCGAATACTAGCTAATTAGTTTACACATTTGCGCTCGTTTCCCGGTTAGCTAGTCGATACCCCAATCTTTTTTTCTCAGATCTTCCTTATTCGATCAATATGTATATTCAATAAGGAATCAATCGACATTTTTCTTGTTACACTCAACCACACGTTCATGTATATCCTGCACCGATAAATACGCGTAATCAGGCAGCACGTGCACGCAATTCTGCGTTAGATATTCAGCGCTACATGCACGTACATTGCACCATCGCAGTCAGACGTACTCACAATGCATCCGGGGTCACTTATCCCGTTCGACCGCACGAAACATTTCCTTTTCCTCTTTTTTTTTCTTCTTTATTTAATAGCTCGGACTTTTTAAAACTATGGTTATGGAAACTAATAAGTTCCTATGTGGATTAAAGTTACTATAGTCGATGCGCGAGAAACAATAATAGTTCATTTGTTGTATCAATCATCGCGATAAAATGCTTGATGCGGTAGAATAAAATGAATAGTAAGTTCCGCGCGAGATTTCCCTACGTATCGACAATATAGGAACAACGTGGCTGCTCCAGGGAGACATTGGTTACATTATGCTGCAAATTATGTACAAAGAGCTGGGTCGTAGCTGTCCACACCGTTTCATTAATAAAACTAATATTCCAGAACAGAGCAAATGCAAGTCGAGCGTGACACGAAAGTCAGTTTTCGGGAAAAGATTCGTCATTTTTTTAGGGTGTATGATTTTTTTTTCTTCAGTAGCTCCTTGCATTGTAAAACAAGAGGGTATGTGAAGAGGGGGTGAGATCCAATCGGACATTTGATATGGAAAATATTATAATATTATAAAATATGATTTACATTATAATATTATAATATTATAGTTGTTACAAGTACACGGATGTAAAAATTTGTAGTTACGATCAATTCTGTAGACATTGACTACAATAATCGTATTATACTTAAATCACATGCAAATTATGCTGTACGAATATTTCATTATTATTCTACTAATGTAGTTGCCGCGTCCCAACCATTTCTTATTTTCTAAGAATACTTGATAAAAGTCAGCATAATTTATACGCAATCAACATGGATTTCTAAAGGTCACTTCTCCTTTCAAGACCAATGAAGAATAATTTGAGTATTAATAGGCGCCTTACGATCTACGATACGGGGATTTTAACGTGAAAATATGTTTCTCTTGAAGTTACTGCGTGTCTTTCGCAAGACCCTTTCCCACGAATGCGTTCGGCTAAACAAGAGAATGACGCATAGAAGAAGAAACAATAAATAGATACACAAGCACATTGTCCAATTTCGTTGTTAATCAACCGGCGATCAATTTAACGTGAAACAGTGTGCAGCCAAGACGAGATAATTAATTCGTAATTTGATTAATTAATTACTTAGATCGTTGCTTTCTACACCTTAAACTAGAGATTCGGCTTTATCTCACCCGCTGAGGTGGTCTCTCGTCCGCATCGTTACTATCATTATTAATATCTGGTAATTACGTGCGCGAGAGCCCCTCGGAGCGCGTCCAGTCTATTAAGTCGGGCGCACGGCGCTATGTATGCAGAAAATTTTGGCTTTTCTTCAACTTCGAAGTCGTACAGTGACAGTACTTGCGTGTCCGCGGACCGAAAGCGAGCGAGAACGGATTTTGCTCCGGTTTCAGGAAGGAGACAATTTTTCTCTCGCACATCGACACAGACAGAGTTCTCCCTTCCGTAAGTCAGGCCGAATGAGCGCGTAAATAATTTAAGTACGTTATTGACATACGAAGGAAGGACACGATCTCTCGCTCCTCTGTCAACGGCCGAGCCGTCGCGTCGGGCGCATTGCGGGGTCGGCGGCACGCACCATGTGTCCTGCTGGAAGTGAAGTCCCTTCCTCGATCCCGCCAAGTCACAAAGTGCGACAGCGTCGTGACGTAGCGCGGGATCCAAGGCGGAAAAAGCCTTTTTAGAAGTTCTGCTCGCCGTACATCCCGGGGAACCGGACAGCGTGTGCTCCGAGCTCGGCGGGCGAGAACTCGTCCTATGTGGCCAAGTGAGCGAACTGGCCGGGGTGGGGCGCGAACTGGTAAGGGTGCCCGTACGGCGACATGTGGTACGGCACGATGTTCATGCTCGCCATCTTGTGCTCCTTCTTCCACTTCATACGCCGATTCTGGAACCAGATCTTTATCTGACGTTCCGTAAGACAGAGAGCATGCGCGATCTCAATGCGACGCCGCCTCGTCAGATAGCGGTTGAAGTGGAACTCTTTCTCCAGCTCCAACGTCTGGTACCTGGTGTACGAGGTCCTCTGTCGCTTCGTCTCACCGTTCGCGTTCACCGTGCCTAGAAATCGACAATTTTCGTCATTTCATTGGGAAGAATGTAGACGTACATAAATATGGATTTTATCAAAGGGTGCTGACGAACCGACCAAGATGGATTGATCCCTCGCGTATCAAACATCTTTGTGCAGTAATTTACTTATACAAAGTACGTAATGTTTAAGATGAATCGCGCTTTTTATCGCAAACGGGTGGAAAAAGCGCGAGAGATTGAATAAACAGCACAGGCGATGCATACTACCGGAGGTACCGAGGCGCGTGCAACGCGTGACGATCTCGTTAATTATTTCAACGAGCTGTGGTTAATGCCGCCGCCAGTGCTTCTGCGGATTGCGAGCTGGTCAACTTGGCAGCTGTTTTACCTATTTGCTTTGCACGCCTCGGCCATAAATAATTTTGCAACGCTATTATTACGATACTCTGTTGCACCTACTTCCTTCGCAAAAATCCGCCGCCGAACAACGCCAGAAATGAGCTTCGACTTAGCTCCAATGTCACTTGCAACGCGGTGTAATCGCCGCATGAGTCGTCATTATATCAAATCGACGTAACTTGATGTAACGATACCGTTACGTAAATTACTTTTTAAACAGACAGCAACTTGTAGCACATGTTGCGTCAAATAAAAGATAACATGTACATGTAATACCTAGAAATTTAACGGATAAGATAATGCGGGAACCGGAAAATTAGAAGTGTAAAGCGAGAGAGATGTTCCGATACAATCGATAGCGTTTGAATTTATTCTGCGCTTTCCTCTAACTGTACAGGGTTCATATATTGTCTCGAGATGCTAGCTCCGCTTGGAGCGAGTCAATAACGACGGGATTATACCCAAAGTAAATTCACGCACGCATCGTTTGCTTCGGTGTTGAAATTCGCCACCTAGCCCCCTCGTTAATGCATCGTATGACTAGCGTGCTCTGTCATTTGTTTCGTTTTGCATCGATCCTTTCTGCGCATCCGACATTTTGTTGGTCCAGCGAGAGAAAAAGAATTTGAATAAGTATGGAAACGACCTTACTGGCAATTCTTTATTATAAGTACGTGTGGTAGTGTATCAAAGCTACGCTACCACGCATACAACTCACAGTACGTACACACGCCACAGACTTCTATACACTACTAGACTGCTACGCGGAAAAAGAATGATGCTGTATCAACAAGATCAGTGTAATTAAAATAAAATCGTTGAAACAGCATCACTATTATATAAATGAGAAACATCAGACAGTTATCTTAATAATCTGGATATTTAGTTCAATGCTTAAAATTAAAATCCATAACAAAGATTGTTGACAATTGAGTGAATTATTTTTGTTTGTGGCAGCCCGTGACGTTAACGTTTCATTCGAGCCACTTCATTTTTTAAAATTCAACAGCATTCTATTTCCAGGTGCCTTCGAGCTGAAAAGTGAGGCAAGAGTTCCGCCGTATCTTGTTAGGTAAATAAAGTAGTATGTGTGCATCGGTGTGTCAGTGACTCTTGCCTCACTTCTCAGCTCGAAGGTAGCAGTCCAGTGCTATATAGAACCCAGCCAGAAATAACTCGTCGATCGACGTCGAAACGATGTCGAATCGACGTCGATATGACGGTTTCGACGTCGATCGACGTGTCACTTCTGACTAGGAAGCTGTGACACACACATACCCGCTGGATTTGGACCAAAGACATGGCGGCGCACCAACGTGCTCAGGATCGAAAAGATCAAAGAGCCGACAGAGGGTGAACACCAGTTAAATGTGCAGCGGATAGACCGTGGGTCTACGTGAGTCTCGCATGATTCACAATGTCAGGACGGAATCGAGACAAATAAGCGAGCGATTCCATCGAGAAACCGTTCGCTAACGATAATAGAGAAAAGTCCTCTATTATGAGATAGTGGATTTTCAACGTCCAAATTCAACACAAATTTTTTTTTCGCAACGATTACACGATCCAACAATTAATTTTCCACTATACAGATTTCACTCCAAGGGCGATAAATTCATGGTGGCATCAACTGATGATGCCTATTAATTTAGCAGAAACTCCGCTTTCACGTATTAGCAGCCTATCTCATAATACGAGACCTTCCTCTACATCTTGTGTATCACAACTTGTAAAAGTTAAACGCGGAAAAAAATGCTTTCCTTGATGCAGATGGTTCTTCATTGCTTTGCGATCTTATTATCGAAAGAATTCGTGTAATTTCCATATAGCACCTGTATCAAATTTCGATGCAGCCGATGTACTAGTAATTTCGACCCTTTCCGCAGCACTAATATAGGCTTCGGTTCGTTGCTTCGGCAGGTGTTACGCGAACAAGGGTGCCGTTTGTTCGTAAATTTTCAGGTTCATTGTGAGCACGGGTCACTGCGGATATTAAAGAGCCGGCTCATTTACAGCTATAATAGATAGCCATTAATAGCGCAGGTCAAGAGGAAAAAATTGACGAGTGTCGTACAAATAAAGATGCAGCTGAGTAGAAAGTACGACTGGGAATATTCGCGTAACAAACGAGTCATTTACATAAATCTTTGCTGAATCGTACTCGTGTGTACGTACGAGCAAAAATGCACGATAATGAAATGTACGATAAGTCGGAGAAGAAGAAAAAGACGAAGGACAAGAAGAAGAGTGCTTTTGTACGCGAATAAATATTTCCCATTGTTCAGTGTATAGAGTTCCCTTGCGTGCGTAATTATCCAGTATTTCGAGCGTTTACGCATAACATTGATAACAGTACGTTTAAAGATTCGTTCCACGGCTCTGAGCAGCATGGACTGGGCACTTTCACGAGAGTGAAAAGCGTTTTCGCAGAGGATGGCAACCAGCGAGCGTTGAACAACGAAGCTCCTACCGGGCTTAATGACAGGACCCTTCGTCCGGTGTTATCGCTTTCCTCCCGATGTAACACGTCGCTGGGTCGTGTGGCCTGACTTTTTAATAAATAGTGTTCTGGTTGTCTGGACACGGACTCGTTCGGTCTGCATATCGTTTATCCGGCGCACCTCTACCCGTTTTGTAACAGACAAACGGAATTCCTTTTTCGGTCACTCGCATTATTATAGAATGCTTCTGTTCGTTAACGAAAAACAATGTAGTAACGAGAGTTGCAAAATTTTTCAATCCTTTTTATTCTTCGGTTTCTTGTGTACTTTTGAATTTTCATTAACTTAATTATTATCACACAATTATCGAAGTTCTTTTAATTTATTTTATTGTCTCGTTATACATGTATCTGCATTCCCGATAATGTTTTAAATATATTATCACATATCCATTTCTTTTTCCGCTTTGTATCCGCTTCCCGCTAAGTAAGATTATTATAAAATATAAGATTCACAAATTGATAAGGATGAATGCTTTTTTGAGACACGCATTCTCGTGTTTATGGCGATAAACATTGTGGTATCGATATCCCGCTGACATCCATACAATGTGTGTAACAAAAATTTGGAATTTTTATTAATTGATTTTCATTAACTTCATTATTATCACATAATTATCGAAATTTTTTAAATTTATTATATCGTCTCGTTATACATGTTATGTGTATCTGCATTCCCGATAACGATTTAAATATATTAGCATATACCCATTTCTTTTTCCGCTTTGTATAAGTATGATTATTATAAAATATAAGATTCACAAATTAATAAGAATGAATGCTTTTTGAAACACGTATTCTCATGTTTTCGGTGATAAAAATTGTGGTATTGACATCTCGCTGACATCCATACAATGTGGTGTGTAAAGGAATATATTAGCGTATACCCATTTCTTCTTCCGCTTTGTTAAGTAAGATTATTATAAAATATAAGACTGTACACAAACTGATAAGAATGGCTTTTTTGAAACACGCATTCTCATGTTTTTGGCGATAAAAATGGCGGTATTGATATCTCGCTGACATCCATACAATGTGGTGTGTAAAGGAATGTACTCGGTGAAGGCTGGTGAGAAAGCTCTCGACGATGCTCATATGCGATTGAAATATGCTTCTTAGGCGCGCCATGTTAATTCTTCCAACTAATACCACGAGAGAGATCTCGATACGCTCACAACGCTTTGCTTGATGTCTGTAACAGGTTCGTAGTTTTTATCATCCCTAAAGAACATGCGCAGGAGTAATAATCTCAGAATGATATAATTGTACACGCGTATGTGTACGTGTGCCTGTTACATCTCGCTGGATATTATTTTATCTTCGATGTACTCGTGATTTATTATTTTTAGTGACCATACCTTTTGATGCATTAAAGTACCGCGGTAATCGCTGACCCGATTAAATTTCACGCGTGTCAGGCACACCTGTTTAATTAGCATTTAGATTCTATCTGGCGTGATCTCAGTAGTTATTCTCGCACTATAAATTCTAAAGCATCGAGGGGAGTACGAGCCAATATGTTATTGTAACTTGAATTTCCGTAATCATACGCATGACTTGCGTTATATATCTCTCGGTAATAAATTTCGTAATCGCATTGAATCTTAAGCAGATGCAATGGGAGCATCGTACACTCATTTGTCAATTCACTCGGGACGCGGAAATTCTTTTATAATTTTACTTTCCGCAGAAAATAATTGATCGGAAGGAGATACAATCCTTATAAATATATTACGTACACGAGAAAAAGAGTAAGTAATTAGTTATATACAAGGCCGAGCGAGCAACACCTTATGTATTTGTTTCGAAATCCCGTAAAATTGCCTCGTTATCGACAATCAATTGCGTTGGTAGTCGATCGATCGCGCTATGTTACTTATCTTGTTTGCTGCAGTATAATTAGGTGTTGCAATTATCTCAAGAATGAGTAATTAGATCACCTTAAATATCCAAATTTACATGAGAAATTAAAAGGGTGAATTAAGGGAGAGATACATAGGGCGATGCATTATTATCTTTTGCGTTTTCCCATACATTATCTAGTAATTATTTAATGTTTTCATCCAACAGTCAATGTTGCTATAATGAAGTGAATCGCATATCTTCACACGTTATCCACGCAACGGCG